AGGGTACCAATGAAGGCCTCTGGTAGAGAACAGAGTCAAAAACTGATACCCACACAGATGCATTTGCACAATGCTGAATAAGTTTTGAATACATTTCCTGAAAGCACACTGTCATCATGAATTAGAACCACATCAAATGCTATCAGTAGAAGGGCTGAATTTATAAATCTCTGCTAAGGGTGTGGGCAGGCCATGAGCTGAGCAGGTACAAGCCTTCAGTGTATCTGGGTAGCACATTGCTTTAATGGTTCTCTTTCGAGTAAGCCCCAAATTGTTGATTCACTGCTGATAACTGCAGGCAGAGTGCAAAGGCAGTACATAAACAACTAGGCAAGGGACTTAAATAAAATAAAAGCAGTTCAGCTTGAATGTCAAAGCAGGCTGTGGCTACCGGGTGGTCACCCGGTAATGGGAAGGAAAATGGACTTTGAATTGGTAAGCCTTGTATGGGTGCACTGACACAGAGCAGGTTGCTTGTCTTCCTGCTGCTGCTCACATAAAACATACTCAAGTCCCACATGCTTTATAATCCTAAATGTGTGAACGAGAGCATTTCACACATTCAGAGTGAATGCCATATACCACTTTTTTTTCTCCTTAAGATTAAATATCCATTCCCTGTGAACAGTTAACTGTTCTACCCCTTTCTGAAAGGTTATTTTTACTCCTGGTTGCACTTAAACGCTGGTTGTGGAGGGGCCGGGAAGGAAGAAGGACGGCAAGCAGGAAACACTTCACCAGGTTCCTCTTCTCAGGCAGCCCTCAGTTCCTCAAACGGAACCCGAAGCATCCCATCTCGCTGACATGGCTGCGGCCGTGGGCGCTCAGCGAGGTCACGGCACCACCTATTGAGGGAAGGCAGCAGCGCAGCACGCTTCCAATTTAGAAAAAGCATGAATCCCCTAGAATGGAAGATAGGTTGCCAGCCATCAATTACGTATATTAATAAATCGGCAATAATAGTGGGGTGGGGAGGGGGGCAGGAGGCTCTGCACTTTGGCATAGGACCCTATGTACTCCTCCATCACCCCTACCTTCCAGCTCCCAATTTTGCTTCTTTCATCAATGTTATGAAGTAACCGAGTCATATTTAGCATTTCTGCTGCTCTTTTGAGACAGAAATAGAATCCCTCCTGCGTTTAAAACAAACCCAGCTTTCATTTTAAATCAGAGCAGGACAGTGTGCATGTCCATGCATCAGCTTTGTTTCTCCACAGAAATCAAAGAATGGGGAGCTTCTAAGAATTATGCTGGCCCTCCCATAGCCCACAAGGCAACACCCAGCCATGACCACCACAAACACCACCACTGAAGAACTGGATCCTGGTGTACAATGGCAGAGATGTCAAAGCCACAATGCTCTCCTGACCATAAATTGTGCACAAATTAGTCTGGCCTGCTGGGTCAACAGAGCAGGCTAAAATAGAAATAGCAGCTCTGCCATATCTCTGGGACAGGAGAGGCAGTGAGAAGTAGCTGCAGATGGTGCAAGTTCTGGAATCTGCAACAATATTTAGACTTCTAGGATTTATTTTAACATTTCTTTGCACATTCGATAAAAAATCATAAAATCACTGTCAGTGTGGGAAGTGAAATAGTTCTTAACTCATAATAGCACTGTTTAAATACACTGAAAGAAAAATATGGTGACAAACTGAGTGAGCAAATTCAATCACTTAAATGGATACGCAGGCAGACAGCCACTAACATTCCTAAAAAACAAAATTAAAACATATTTAGCATTCAAGAAATAATACATATCCCTGTAGAACATAAACATCCAGGAATTGATATGAAGAATGGACAGTAGATTTTTAACCTATTGTTTTTCTAGACACTAACATACATCATGGTAACTCTTACGTTACTCTTCTGATCACTAGGAGAACAACAGTATTGTGGCATGGTGGTCAAAAGAAAAGCGAAATAAAGGCAAATTATGTTTATTCTTCTACCTCAACTATATGGCTGGTGCAGCTACAAGCATTGCTTCTTCCTGAAAACCTCTCGGTAAGATACCCATAACTGTAGTCACTGAAATGTTACATTGCAGCGATGCTGAAGCTCCTTAATCAAGTTCTAGTTTTGCTGTATTTGGTGATAGACTGCCTCAAGAAAATTGACTGCCTCAAGAAAAAGTAGCTCCATTATGGAGCTGTGTCAGCTCTGCAGAACCCATGACAGCTCATTAAACTGTGTGGCACCTGCTCCCCATAGACAGGAAACCTGAGCAAGTCATCTCAGCTTTCAGGCTTAAGAGGCAGGGATTCCTGGAGGAAGAAAAAAGAATAACAAGCAAAATCAAAACAAAGATGTAGAGGGATCTTTACCTTATCCGACATCAAGAGACTTCCAGCAAAATTAAACATGTGATTTGGTATTCTTTACATTGCCAGATAGACATCATTTTCACACATGAAGGCAATTAGTGTCATTCATCACTGGTGTACACAATCTTCCCTCAGGTGAACACATTAGCACAATAATGTCTTCTAGGTATGTGCTCAGTTTCACGGGCATATAGAAAGCTATATGAAATTGAGAAATAAAAGGAAAAGCAAACTACAGCCAGCCAGAGAAACCTCCAAAATCATTCAGAAATTGTCACTGTCAGATCTTTGAAACTAGGCTATTTTAAGGTGTCAAATCTTTCTCTAGTTACACTGACAAACGTACGGTGCTAAGAAATTTTGGGGCGTCAAACTTGTCCAAATTTGTACTTGCTTACCTATTCCCATCTAAGTGTATTCTTCATACTCCTCAGAATGTGAGGAGACAGAGTTTGAAATTCGCCTGGTAGGAACTCACCTTTGCACTCCTCTAACTGCTCTGGCTGGAAAATAAATTGAGAGGAATCCAAACTATGTGAAGTATTTGGATCAAACAAACTTTTCACTGCTAAAGGGAACACAAGGTAGGCAATACAGGTTGCACAAGAGAGAAGCAGCTCTTCAAACACCTTTCAGCTCTTGTTTACACATAGCAAAACAGTGAAGTTTCCCATTCTCCAATTTATAGTGTTCAATAGAGAGCTTGCCCGAATAGGAAACTGGACAACTCTGTGAAGGAAAAAGCAGTATAGAAAAGAAAATAAAAAGCATGATTGTTATTTCCCCCCCTTAACTTGCAGTTTAAAAAGTTAACTTTCTACTTTTTTTAAAGACATCCACAAACTGAAACAAAACAAACCCCAAACTCCACACCTTCCATTAATTACGCATTAAAGTTAGAGCAGAAAACCAATGTAGCCTTCATAAATATACAGGAATAGGTTTCTCTAAGCACAAATTAAAAAAAACACATGTTCCAAAACATCTGTAACTGATTACCTGCAGCATGCTATGTAGAACATGCTATGAATGCATCAAAGAAAGCCTTTGTTAAAGATTAAAACTTTTAGGCAATAACGGTTCATAAAATACCACTGTAAATGGGTGTAGTGAATCTGGATGGGATGGAGTTAATTTGCTTCACAGCAGCCCTTATGATGCTGTGTTTTAGGTTTGTGGCTAGAAGACTGTTGATAACACATTAGTGTTTTTGGCTAATGCTGGGCAGAGCTCATACAGCACTGAGGTTTCCTGTTTCAATGCCTCCACTCATTTCCTCCTTGTCTCACAGGAGATAAACTGCTGGGGAGGGAAAGAAGCTGAGAGGGACACAGCCAGGACAGCTGAACCCCTACTATGGAATATGCCATATCATATCAGAAGGTCATGCTCAGCAATAAAAGCTTGGTGAAGGTAAGGGGAAGGGGGATATTAGGAGTAATAGTGTTTGTCTTCCCATTGTGAACACCTGCCTGCTGACAGAAAATAAATTCCTGATTTACTTTTGCTTCTGCACATTGCTTTGTTTCACCTATTAAACTGGCTTTATCTCAACCCATGAATTTTCTTAGCTCTGCCTCTCTGGCTCTCTCCCTCACCCCAGAAGGGCGGAGGTGAACAAGCAACTGGGTGATGGCTTACCTGCCTGCTGGAGTTAACCCATCACAACAGTCTCAGCTCTTGAGTCAGTTTCTTTAGTAGTCCAAAGTCAGACAACAGTAAATCATTCACATATGCTGCTTTGCTTTACTAGACTTTATTACAGGCCTAACACATTAAAACATATCAAAAAAGGTAGGCTGCAGAGTTTTTACACTATAGAATGCCAATAATTTCAAAAATGGAAATGACACCATTGAAACTAGATGAAAACTTGCAAGAAAAGTATAGGGGATGAGGAAGAAGAAAAATATGAAGTCAGTTTTAAAAAAGAAAAAAGATTCATGACCCAGACTTTTTTTTTTTTTTAATAGAAAATTTAATATCATTCTTTGAGTCAAACAATTCTGTTTAGAAGCAAATATCCATAATGAAGTTAAATTCAGATTTTGAACCTCTAAATAAGATCCATCATCTCAGTTAACTTGCATTAAGATAGCTTGTGCCTTACGTATCCCAAATATCCCTTAGAGTGTTTATTTATCATGCTGAAGTTGATAGTTTTCCACACAGTTACAAGAACAGGTTTACAATTAAGTTACAAAAATAGTTATAACTCATTAGTATTTCTATACATAGTTCAAGCTATTATATGCACACTCTGTACAGTGGATGTTAACAGTGGTTAAGTTCACTTGAAACAAAAAAAACTTCAAAACTAAATCACTCATGGTTAGGCCCAAAATATTTAGGCACCGTAATGCTTGCATGTCTGGCAGTAAACATCCCTACTTACACAAAGCAAAAGCAGTTTCAGTATCCAAAAAACCCACATTCACATTGCAAGACCTTTACTACAGGGCCTCACACTGTGCCTTAGGGCTGGACACACTAGCTCTAACTGTATCGATTTCTTACAAAGAACAGCTCCTGTCTAACAGACCAACCCAAAGGCAGAAAACCAGATTTGCATGACAAAAGCTATAGGGTAGCAAAGCAATCTCTCCTTCATTATCAGAATCTCCATTTAAAAGTTTAAAAAAAAAAAAAAAAAAAAAAAAAAAAAAAAAAAAAAAGAAAAAAAGAAAATGGCTTCTCGAGTAGACAAATACCAGATGTTTTTGCCATACCCAAATAATTGTTTTTAACGTGTTTGGTTGGATTTTATTACATTGGCTGCATTCATCCTGTTCATCCTTCCCTTTCAGAAGTAATAAGCCTAGAAGCATTGCTAGAGTTTTGGTTTTTGTTAGAGGCAATAAAAAAAACTTAGTTCAGAAGAGAGTATTACTGCTAGTCTTAGTTGTATCTTAACTACCTGTCCAGTCTCACTGATGTGAAGGTTCATGTAGGTGCCCGACTCTGAAAAAAGTCACCCATTTTGTAAGATGGTAACACACAGATAACCCATTACAGACTGGGGAGAGAGAACAGGGGAAAAAAGCAAAACCACAATTGAATCTCCAATCAGCTCCCCACCTCCCAGAAGGAAGCCTCAAATAGCAAACAACAAATAAAGAAATAAATTATTTTTTCAAGTCTACAAATCTCTCTTACACTACTACAAAAATCATCCTTCCCATCATGCGGGCACAACGTTTCAGTCTGATGGTAAAAAACCCTCACAGTTCAATCTAAGAGCTCAGAAATTCCGTGGTTAGCCACACACTAGAAAGACTAGTCATGTTTGCAATTAATTGCTATGAAGAAATTTATTCACTTGAAGGACTTCAAGGACAAACTGGAAGTCAACTGAGGCATGTACTTAACTGCACCAGCACAAGGCTGCAAAATATACCACAACATTAACATCAAGGTCATGCACAAGCCAGAAGTGCATTAAGAACTTCAAAGCTGCACTATACAGGATAAGATACCTAATGCTTGTCTTTCACATGAAATTAAGCAGCGAGCAATTGCCCCTCAAACACCAAGATGGATAAACAAATCTTCAAGTTTTAGTGGCTTCACTCATTCATTTTTGAAGCATCATATTTAAATCTAATTTTGTTCTGTGAGTCAGAGCAGCAAATCAGCTAACATTCATACTCATTTGTTTCATAACAGTCTAACTTCAAATTTTGAAATTTTATGTCTATTGTGTATGGAATACATTAAGGTTTTTGTTTTGGACTGTGCCACTGCACTACAATACCTGAACCACTGTTTCAACAGATAACTAAAAGAGCTTTATTTTAAAGTGCAATAGGTTTTGCTACAGGAATTGCAAGAAATAGTTCAAGTGAAAAGAATACCAGAAATAAATCCCTTGAAATATTTGATCATATTCTAAGATTAAGGGATAAGTTACAATTGAACTACTCATCATTTCAGAAAAATAAATAAGTTAACCCATCAGAAAACCTCTTACACAGATGAAAAGAAATCAGGAAAGACAATGGTTCTTCAAGCTGAACTTCTGCAAAGAATTTAGAATTTGTACTACTTGGACTACAGTGGACCATAAGGCTCTCATTTGTTACAAAACAAAAATCAATAGAAATAAATGAGGTTATAAGAAGTCTTTCATTTGAATCATAAGTTGTTTACAAAACTTTGGTTACCAACATGCTGACAGTTACTGCAAGCACAAAGTAACATGCTTTTAATGCTCCTGTAAATTACTTAATCCGAAAATTCACCAATACTACCAGATTCTACTTTCAGGTTAGTTAAAATCTTAGTTATTCAGTAATCCCACCACAAATAAATAGTGTTAAAATTTATACCCATAAGGTATCCCAGGTGAAAAGTAGTTATTAAAAACAATATTTTATCCCACCATATCCATGGAAAGAATAATCCCACTCAGCACATTTCATTTTAAAGTAGATAACACAGCATTTTAAGCAGTGGGAGATTCACAGATTAAGTATGCATTTTGCTCAGCATGTCTGCCAAACTTCCAAATGTCAGTCTGAGTTGTGTCACAACACCACATAAGCAAGCATAAAATCCCTAAAAACACTCGTTCAAGCAGCATCTGCTACCTACTGTGACCAAATAAGTACATCACCACACCATTCCAGTTATTTTAGATTACTTTTTTTCCTTTGAATAAAATTTTGATTTAAACTGGTACAAAATATATATATATATATATATCTGCCTAGGGCTGTTTTTTCCCACATCAAAATCAAGCAAGAAAAAAATAAGTACAACAAACTCAAGGCTTAAATACTCGAACACAGAGGGAAAAAATACTGCTCACTGGTTAACTTCAAATACAACATGGTTTAAAACAGATTTCTTCCCATATGCTCCAACAGAAGTGAATCCTTCCATGTCACATACTAGATGTTACTTCTCTGCTTCTAGCCAGCTTCCTTCTAGTCTGGTCTGAAGTAGTACTCAAGATTCCAGTACTGAAGTTCTCCTAAACCAAAACTCAACTTTTCAGTCCTATCAGAAATTATAGGAAACTGACAGTTTACATTCCAATATAATAGTCAGATTTTTCATTGGTATCCAGAATAAGTGCTCACTACATTCAGACAGATTTTTTTTCTATACTTTTTTCTCCTTCCCCTTAAAAACAAAACAAAACAAAAAAATAATCAGACTTGCCTAACTGATATGTTTCCCCACCACCACCTTTAGGTCCACCTGAAGAACACTGATGAAGAATAATAGACACAACTTCACCAAATTACCGCAGCATAAAGGATCATTAGTTGCAAGAAGTTACTCTGTAGCTTTTTTACATAGTGTTTATTGCTAAATCATTTTATATAGCTTATTTCCAGGAGGTGGGCAGCATAAAAACTACAGCGTTTCAAAAATTTAGTATTCATTACAATGTCTCAATAGAACTTCCTTGAAGCTTCACTTAATTCAGAATTAAATCAATCCCAATCTAGTTAACTAAAGAGTTTTGCACCGTGCCCTTAGAACAGTCAGTTTTTAGAAGTCAAGCAATTTGGAACCTGAAACTTACAATTACTGCATTTGATAGAAACCCCAGAAATTCTCATTGTGCAAACGAAATCGATTAAACTATTTTGTATTAGTTTTGTTCTAAGTTAACATTTATTCTTTCAGAAGGCGTTGCTTTATCATAACCCCACAGCTGATGTGAACTATGAGCACTCAGGAGATTCACGTAACTAATGCATTGCTTTCCAAGCCTCTGCACTAAATACACACACCCCAAAGTGTTAGCACTGACAAGGAGCTTAGATACAAAGTATATCACAGCAATAAAATTGCTAAAGATTTACATCCAGCTGCCCAAAATCATGCTCAAACAGGTTTCCACTTAGTTCCTAACTACACAATTCTGATTTTAATAGTTTTACTCGGAAGTTTAACTGAAAAACAAAAGAATGGAATGACATTGTCGAAGTCTCAACTCCTTCACTTTCCAGTCTTGAATTTTTCCTTTGTCAGCAATGATTTGGCTGGGAGAATTTCTTTTTTAAAACCTAGCAACATACATTCTCCTTATAACATCCAAGAGATGGCAGGGGGCAATATGAACAAGAGGATGCCAGATTCTAAAAGTTGCACATTCAAGTATAGCGTCCTCCATGAGAGCTTCCCTGGCTTTCACAGACTGCATATCACTTCTGATCAAATATAGCAGAAAGTAGAATTCCAACCAAAGAAATATTGCCACTGGTTTACTAATATTAGTTTTACACCAAGGTCCCTCAAAGCAATTTTAAGTAGTTATACTGCAAGTTTCAAGAGTCAAATATCAAGAACTGAAAATATAAACTTAGTTATGAGTATCAATTCTTCTAAAATGCTCATTAGTGACACATTTCACCTAAACAGACAAATACACACAGTTACTCTAAATTGATATACCACACTGTAAAAGCAAGGTCCCAATTCAGTTCAAGAATCTGTAATTCCCCCTCTCCCTCCAACCACACAACTTGACAGAAGTGTTTACAGTAACAGAAAGCAAACAGAAGGGGAAAAAACACAGCATTTAACAAGTGCATCTATATACATTTTGAAACTTTTCCCTCCTTGCAATTAAAGTGAACAGGCCACCATGTTTCCTTTGCATAACACGCACATATTCTCTCTTTTACAAAGTACCAGTCCTATTCAAAGGATTTCTGCAAGCATCAAGAGCAGTCATTCCACACTAACAAACAGGTGCTTTTACTGAGGAGGCTGAAGTACATTTAAATATTCTGACTGGCCCAGCTGGTAGGTTGTGTTTCCTCCACAGTCCACATACTGGTATTTCTCTCTGGATATTTGCTCAGAGTGGCCGAAGTAAGAGGTTGTCACCGTCACCCTTAGAAACACAAAACAGAAGAGATACTTGTTTTGTAAAGGGCTATAAGGTTCCCTAAAGTCATTAATAGGTTTTTAATGAAGTTTTAGAACAAAACATGTTAGGAACAAAGTTTCTTTAAAAGTTAAAAAAATAATACCAGTTAACACAATCTACAGATTTTTCATCACAAATTTCACAAGTCACAGATTTTTTGTCACAAAAAAAAAAAAAAAAAAAAAAAAAACAAAACCAAAAGTCTCGACCAGAGTTTTTTCCTAGAGACAGTAAAGCCAGGATTTAATCATTAATACTTTTTGTTCCCCTTTTAAAACCAAGTATTACAGAAGTTTCACAAACAATGTTCTACACACCACCCCTTCCAGCCACCCAAAACAGGCAGCTCTTGATTCAATCTGCTACAAAAAGCAGATCCTGGCAGAGTACTAAAAACCTTTGACTGACTCAAGGTCATGAGATTTTCAGCAAGTTTTGAACAGCAGCTGATAAACACAAGCTCATAACAAAATTTGTGAGACCATAGGAACTCCATGTCACAGTCCAGCTGCAGAGCACATACAGTACTGTATAATCAATGAATATAAAGATGTTATAATTACAAAATAAACAAGAGAGTTTGGCTAAGCAGGTTATTAGAACAAAAAGAGAATAGATAGGATGCTTACCTGCATCCTAGGCTCACTGCAAAACTCCAGAGGAGGGATCTCCAGAAGAGATCCTTCCCCACTGGTAGCCACCTCTTAAATGGGTCTAGGAGAGGTGCAGCCAGGCTCCACTCCTTCCAGCAGCACAGCTGAATTGCCTTCACCTGTGCTCCCATGTCTGACTCATTGCTCACCTCAGGTGATCAATCAGAGGTTCAGGCTGTGATTCAGCAGTTCCTATAGAAATACTAATGGTTGCAGCTACTCAAGTACTTTTATGCTACCAGACCTTGCCAAAAGAAGTTATCTTTCCACAGTTCCATTTAAAGAACTGAAGATACTATACTAGGAAGTAAATTGATGTCATTTTATCTAAGATAGAAGAAACTGGATTAAACACTTCTGAATAACGTTTCATTGAGGACCATGTGGCTTTTAAAGTTGCTTCCAACAAATAGGAAATTCCCATACTTACTGCATCATCACTACTATGTTATGCACTTTGATTGATGCTAAAGTACAGAAGTCACTGAAAAAAAGAAAAACAGCTATTAGATTTACATCGACATCTTATACGCAGTTATCTAAAAAGCAAGAACTGTTGCTTCAACCAGAAATCCTACTATCTGTACACATAGAGCTTGTAGAGTCACTAGCAATGACAACTAAAACACTTGTTGAAAAAACACTGTCCATGAGCATGTACTCAGTCTAGGTCTACTTATACACAGTCTTGCTTTTACAAGAAATATTTTCACGTGTACTTGCTTACATGAAATGCTTGCCAACAAAAATGTCTTGTGAAACAACATCCACTCATCTCTATAAACACATTTCAGCTCTGAAATACATTTCATTTTACAAGATCATAACCATCATAACTTTTACCAAGACACAGGCAATATTTAGTGGCTGGTATACTTACAACATGTAGCTCATTTCATCTTGTATGACTGTGGGCACCATATAGTCAATCTGAAAAAAAAAAAAAAAAAAAAGCAATAGAAAAAAAAAATAAAAAATCAACGGAGCAGAATCAAGTATGAAGATTTACATACACCCAACTACAAAAGCCCATGCTATTTACCTGTTTCATATCCAAAGGACCAATGTTGGTGATGTTGTTTAGCCGTGCTTTGCCAATAACTGTTTTTGAAAACTGAACTTGGGCTGTGATGTTTGCTACTTCAACAGAATAATAGTTGTTGTTTGTTATATTTAGTGTGTTCTGTAAATAACAAAAGCAAAAGAGCAAACAAACAACTTTAAGAACTTCTCATGTTGAGGAGCATAAATTTTTGAATTTACATATGAAATCATGCAACTATACTTTCCTGTCATCTGAGGTCTCCTTAGGGAAGGGAAGGAAGGGAATCAACACTGCTGCACAAGTACCCCTGAGAAGGGGCTGAAGACTGTGATTCCCAATACATTCACAACTCCACTGATGACTTCCTTCCCCTACAAATACTGACTATTTCATTCTATTTTCAGTTATCCCTTCCACGAAATTTAACTATTTCAGGACATTTCCTAACATAGCTACTTGTTTTATTCAAAGACACCGTGAAGAATTCCATCAAAAGTGTATGGAAAGAACTTCTTAAAGTTTTAAGATGAGTAGGAAATAATTTTTCTTCAAAACCTGTTTTGATAGATACACAATACCAGTTGCTGAATGGCATCCCTGTATCTATATTCCACCTGTATTCCCAAAATAACCAGAACAACTTTAAAGTCACAGTTCCCATGAAATCAGAAGACTCAGTAGTAGCCTACAACTGCAGCTGTATTAGCTACAGCTACAGGAAGCAGTCACAACAAGTCTAGTTGCATTTTTCAAATTGCTTATAGAATCTGCTGATATTTCTTAAGGCACTAAGTCCACCAGCTAGCCCTCAATTTTATGGATATCAAACTGTACCAGCAGCATCTCTCATTCCACATATTGCAAACATCCAAACAGATGGACAGTCTTACCGTAATATTTAAATATATTATACGTCTGCTCTGTTCATAGTTGACATAGACTGACTTCACACCAATGTATTCAACATCAACTGAACGAGGAAATAAGAAAAATACAGCCAGTCCAGAAAGTAGGAGACATACAATTACAGAAGCAGTCACGTAGAGCTTTCTGTGGAAAAAAAAAAAAAAAAAAAAAAGCACATTTCAGAGTTAAAAGCATATTAAAGGAAAATAACACACCACTCCTCTTATTTAAGTGATAAGGAACAAGACTAAACAATACAACTACATTCAGCCCGTTCTGAACTGCCACTGATTTCCAAAGGGGGTGATGGGAGGGGAAAATATGCTGCACATGTAGACATGTGATGTCTACATCACAAATAGAGATGATACTCTTGTATGTATATTAAAAAAAAAATAAGTTACAAAACATGTGGTTATCCCAACATTCACAAATTTGAGTTAAACAGAAGAGGAAAATGTTCATTTGCTTTAAGATAAAAGCACTTCCTTTAAAGTTTATTTATAGCAGAACCTTCCTCATTCTGCAAGAATCTTCAGCACGCTGTGCTCGTACCAAAACATACCCAGAAAGGAATAACACTTATGTTTCACTTGGGATTCTTTGTCAAAAAACAAAACAAAAAAAAAACCCACAAAAACACTTTCTGGGAAAGCATCAGGAACATCTTAGAACCCTGCTATGAAACTGCAAGTCTGTAGTTAAATTAACACAAAAGCAGGAAGGGACTTCAAGCAATAAAAATACACAAATAAAAGGCTCAACATCAGCTGTAGTTTTCTCAGTCAGAACACTAAATGAATATTTCTCAAATTTAGACTACTGCTACATCAAATTCATTATCTGTTATCTACTATGTGAATTTACTGTCTTTTTTTCACATCATTATTTACTGTTTACCAGAGACACCCAAAGATTTAAAACATGTATGTGGGAAAAAGAAACCCTTAACCGTTTCATTACAGTGTTGAGTAGAGCCTAGAAGAAAATACATCTTTTTAAATGATGTTACATGAGAAAGACACGTTTGTTTATTCTACTAGCCACTCAGATCTTTAAAAATTAATTCTAGGTGACTTATTTTGTAGTAGTGGCCTGAAGTTAACACTTTCTCTGATTTGAACTTTAATAATGAAGACTAAGCATCTGCTCAGATCCATTAATATCCTACAGAGAGTGATAAATAGTTGCAAAATAACTGTTGATATTCAGATAAATACCGACATGAAGACATCGTGCAGTATTACCAACTTTACAAGACATAGTTTGATGGTTGTGTGCCTGCCTATTAATAAATAACTCCTGCAAGAGCTAGAGGTGAAGGTTGATAGTACAAGCAGAGTTCTTTCAATACCAAACAAGAAAAAAAAAATAGCGATTTTGCTTGATTCTTCTTATCTCTTTTGAATTATTAAATTTAGCTGGATGAGAATGTGAATACTGTAGATTCATGCATCACAACTATTAACTTACGTTCTTCTTGGCCTTAGTCTCTGATCACTGTATGGAATTAGTGCTACCAGCTGGTTTTCCTGCCCTAGAAATAAAAACACTGTATCAGAATTTAAACAAGAAGAGTCATTACTTTTGCTATTACTTCAAATAAAAAGTGGCCTTTACAACTTTACAGCACTGAATTAGGATGAACATTTACATTCCAGTTAATGGCTCGAGTAAAACATTGCTATAGCATGTGTACCTATGCCACCTCCTCAAATAAGACTATGGATACCACCACCAAAAGGAAAAAAAAACACCAAACCCACACAAAGCTGACAAACACTAAAACAGCAACAAATTCTGCCTCTGTGTTGTATTCATGCACAGGAGGCAAAACACCTCAGGTGCTTCCTTTTCTCTCTAGTAAATAGTGCCAAACAGATTTCAGCTCTCTATATTAGACTGCAGAGAGTCAGAAACCAAGAACACAAGCACAGAGGATCTATTGAAAAAACACATGGATGGCACCTGTCTTTATGTGCTTTGTCATAGAAAAACATATAATTGAGATTCATCTATACCAGTACATACATGCCTCAATAAGAACTCTAATCTGCATTTTCAGTCAAATACAGAATTTGACCAGCACTATCACTTAGCTAAACAATCATGCTGAAGTGATTTCAACCTGAATCACAAAGCCAAGCCCTTGCTAAGCATAAATTAGTATAAAACATCAACCTTGTAAAGAGCTCTACCAATTTAACACAGATTTTCAGCTTAGCAATTTTATACTGATAAGTTAAAGCTGTCCAAGTACCAAAATGCAATTTCATGAGAGTACTGAACAGTTTAATCATCATAGGCCATACTGTGGTGTTCCATAACAGTCATGCAACGATCCAGAGAACCCTTAATTTCTCATCTCTCTTCTCAAAAAAACACAGATATGATTTCCTTCTTAAGAGTACTGAAGAATAATTAAAAAGACAGTCCTATTTATTTTGATAACCCACTTGAAGTTTCAGTTTTAATCAAACTATTTAATTATAATTTATGAAAAACAAATATGTATAATATGCAGTCAGATGTTTAATAAATTAAATGCTTTGTATCCAAAAATCTTCCAGCCAAAGAAATAAGTTCTGAGCACAGAAATCCCATCATTACAGAATTTTTCCTTGCACTAGAAAAAGTAAAGAATTGCCATTGGTATTATTAAATATTTCAAGTAAGGAAGCAAACAAACTTCCTTCTCTGTAGTCTTTTGGTTAAGATATTTTTTGTCACATTACTTCACTGAATTTCCTATTTGATACATTTGGAAGTACTCAAAGAATACAGTGTTGTATAACGTTTAACAGCTACTACACAAATCCCTTCTGATATCTGCAACTGTTTAAACATCCTGTGCCCCAACACTTGTCTCTAAGGGAGGCAAGTTATTTGTGAACTATATGAAAACTTAATCCAACAGAAGCACATGTATCTGTGCCACACCATCCCTGTATAGCAGTCATTTTGCCCAAGTTGCAAGTTAAAAATCAGTTTTGTGAGCTTTTACAACCAATATTATGACTAGATAGGATAAGAGTTCTAACAAAAATGAAGCCTTCCATCAGTTCCTTCCCCTGATAAAGGCAGAAGGCTGTGCTTCAGCACACTGCATTCACCACTTTCTCCTGCCCAGTTTCATGTACCCTGCATTTTCCCTTAAAAGGTCAATTTCTAAATAGCTATACAGTATGATTACCATACAGGAAGGAACTGTAATAAAGCAAAATGTTTTATTCAATGAGAAGTGAACAATGAAGGCAGCAAGTAAAGTAAACTGTTAATCACGAAAGCAAAGGTGCAATGTGCTCCTTCCTGCAACAGCCAGAGAATGCATGTGTTCCCATACCCAGCAATGGCAAATGAGACAAAGGGAACGTGAAGCAAAGTGCAGGGCACTGAAAACAGGGCAGAAAAACAGCTGTGCATGATCGAGGAAAAATGCTGTAGGTAGAGCTTTCAATTTCTCTCTGGTACACAGCAAACCAAGATTTTAATTTTCCAGATGCTCTTAGAAAAAAATAATCCAGTACCTTGTCTATCGACATCCTATGGACACAGCCTTTCCAAATGAAAACCTGAAACTGTGGCTTCAAGTAAGTTATGACTCTGGCTGATATTTGACATGCACAGAGTTCACCTGTCAAACCAGTTGCTCAAGTGTTGAAAAACATATCTGTACTGAAAGCATCTTTCTATTGCAGAAAAAGAACAAGGGACATCCCAGGCATACCAATCATCCTGGAAAAGCATGTTATGTTTTAGAATGTATTTTTCATATAATTCTGAGATTTGGTTTTCAGTATACAACTTTAAAAAAAGAAATTATCCTCCAAGTTATAACAATACCAAAGCATGATCTACTAAGCAGAGCTGAGTGTTATTAACTACTGAATTTGCACCCTTACCAGCGCCCACACCCACCTGTTTTTAAAAGCACTACTTGTTCTTCTAAAACAATCAGTTGGCCTGCTGTCCTTATGCCAATTGGTAAGCAAGGGAAGAGCAAGATTGTATTGTTCCTCACAAGTTTTGCAATAAATATTTTTATTAATTCTGTTTTTTTTTTTTACATGAAAACATCAGATCAGCTTTAATTTATACAGGTCTACTCTTCTCCCCATGTCTAGTGATATCTCAATACTTGCAATTACTTTTGCAAAGTTGTGTATTTTTTCAAATAGTTTCAAACTTACTTAAAAAAAAATACATCGAAATGTCTAAAAAAGTAAGATGTCAGCAAATTCAACTTGCAAAAACTAGGGATTAAAGCAGAAAAGCAAGGCATGCTGCTCTGCATAGACAAGGAAAGAGCTAGCAGGTGGCAGTCAAAGCTGATTAGATACACATTTCGTTCACACAACATAATAACGCTAAAATGCTCAGTGCTAAAAAGAAAAGATGGCTACAAAATATCTTTACTAGAGAGTTATTTGCTATCGCTCATTATAGTTACTGCTGCACAGATCTATGAGATAAATTTATGCCTTAAAAAAAAAAAAAAAAAGTAAAGAAATGAAGGCAACTTACCTCGTGGAATTCTTCCCGTTCCCTGGCAGGTAGGACAAGTGACACTATCCCTTCCTGTGAATTCCACGTATGGAAACTGTGACACATCCCCACATCTGCCATCCTCACCGTGTGATTCTGAGTGAACTAACCCATTCCTCATATTATCCGACACTGTACCTCCATCATAGCCATCTTCCTTACACGTATGTATCGGTAGATGAGAAAGAGATTTTCCCATTTCTAAAATAAAAGGCAAAAGAAGCTTTTTCCATGGAGAAAGATTCAAATATGGCTTGCAATTTACCCCTCCGTATCAAGTAACCATTAGTGTATAATCATTACTCCAACTAGGCTCCTATTTACTTTTGTTGTGCTTAGACTCTATAAGACTTGCAAAGTGTTAGGGCCCAGTTAACCTGCAGTCTGTCTCAAACCAATAATCTGATCTCCAGGGAAGACCCATTCAGGTGCTCACACACATGGGTTAAACAAGGGTGGATGACAGGCTCCCAAGACAGAACAACCAACTGCTGGCAACAAGTTACAGCAGTCAAGCAGCACTGGACAAACAGCCACAGGACACACTGATCTCAATAAAATAATTTCAGGACTTAAAACTTAACGCGCTCCAGAAACCAGGCTCACAATGTTCAGCAGAACCTGCACATGCAACTAAGTCAGTTCTAATCAGCTTTTTAGGGCAAATTGGATCAGCTGGCAATCTCTGGGATAGAAATACAGATCCTCAGGTGCTTAAACTGATGATTTCTTTAACACAAAAGAGAACTGTTTCACAATAAAAATAAAGGGTAAAAAAAAAAAAAAAGGTTAATGCTGTCAATACATAGCATTTTTAAAGGCCTGCTAAAATACTAATCACAAAAACAGCTTGTGTTACCCATGTGATTTCATAATTTTCTCACAAACATCCCTCTTCAGCCACACTGAAACTAACATGAGATGGTTGAAACCAAAAGCCACAACAAAGTGATAGAAGTAGCCACCCTGCTAATTTGCAACAGGTATGAAACAACTCAATAAGAAAAACTAAATATATGTCCAGGAATGGCAGTCATCTAGTCCAGCTTTAATCCATAACCTCTTTTAATTAATTAGCCAACAGAAACACTAGGCACCCAGTTCACTGATGATGTCTTGGAGAACAGGGGGATTTATAGCAAGTATGCATAACTTCGTTTTTTCCATTGCAGTTAGAATCTTACTAATAATTATCACTCTGGCACACCAAGAGAGGAAGCACAAGAAAGGTGATCAAGAGAGAAACGCAAGTCAGACTATTTTAGACCAACCACTCCAGACAGAAATAGATCTGAAGTATGGTGATGGTAACATAAGCCCAGCATTAATGAATTGTACTGCCACAAAAGCTAGGTGAATGTAGCAAGAGAAATGTAACTCAGTTATCACCAGCAGGTTCCAGTTACTGTTTCAGCAAACATGATATTTTATTATTATTTACTATAAGGGTAATAAAACCCATACAAGAAAGAAAACTATTTATCCTTTTGTTGCTACAGCAATTTTGAAACATTCTAAGTTAGGGAACCATTCAGTGTAATAGAAATTATTGAAATGAAAATTGAAACCAGCGAGCTATCGAAAAAAGTTTCCTAAAAAAAGGTTGAAGTCATTCCACGCACAGTTCTCCTTCCTACTATCTCTGTAGCTGAACTATAGCCTTTATGCTACAGAACTCAAGTCTTGCAGCTTAGGTAACAGCTGTTACACATATAGATCAGTCCCCTGGTCTTTCTGCATTTAAACCTTACTCGATTTACCTACTCTACTGATGGGAGACTTAGGCCATATCAACATTTACAAAGACAGAACAATAAAAACAACACTAGAAGTAAAAACAGTTGTTGAGGATCCAACACCCACTATACATCATTTTGTGAGTTTTATTCCATACTATCTCTTGCTGAGACTGAACAACCACTAGCACTTGAAGCACATCATTGTTTTAGTCTCTCTCAACAGGAAGACAGCTCACAAACTTTCCAATCACACCATGATGTGAACTGAAGAGCAGCAAGCAAAGATAGCTGCAAATTCATTTCACACCCTCGATTTGAATTAAAATAGTAATGCAGATGTATCCTTCAATGCCAAGCACGCACAAACTTCAATAATTAGAATTTAATAGCCTTTTTCTACCACCAGTGATTTAGGAGATTAATATCCCAATTTGCAGATGACAACATCAGCAATTTCAAGTGAAACACATTCCTGCAAAATGCTCTCTTTACCGCCCTTTAATCATATAACAAGAGCTGAACCTTACAACAGCCGACCAACACTTAAGAACACCTTGTTCTTTTACCCCTTGTATGTCAGACAACAGTTCTGAGAAAGAGTTATCTTTGTATCTGACAGCTTCTACACTGTCAACAAATTCTCACATCCTACTTTTTTTTTTGTAACAGCTGTGCTAGGACCCAGTCTCTCCCTTTCCAGTCTCCTTAAACTTCTGTAGTTTCCTTGAATTTAGAGTTTGTCAAGAGATAGCTTTGCAAATTAAAAAACAATGTTAAAATAAGGCAGTTTTCTTTAAGTTTTCTCCCTTCAGATAGCTGATGCACACCACAGAACACAACACTGACAAAACTCAACACATGAAACAACCACATCCTGAACTATAAGCTACACTTATGATACTCCCTTTTAGTTTCGGAGCTTGGTGAAATCTTATTGAGTTTAATTCAATTACTGTACTCTTCCAAAAAAAAGTTAGGATGCCATTCCTACTTCTTATGCACAAACTCGAGGTTAGGAAACTACTTATTTTTCATAACAAAACAAGGCTCCTAAGCATGACAATTCTCCGTTGGCCCATCAGCTGTGGCTGAATCATTGCTAACATCCAAAACACCGAGGAGAGGCACAGCAATGACTTGGCACTCACAAACATGCTTCGCAAGGGCAGGCACGTCTGGGGATGCACAGCACCAAACTGCCTCTCACCGAGTCTTCGCCATCCACCTTTCTGTCTTTTGCAAGACTGGCTCTTCCCAAAACTAACCAACAGGCCAAGACCCTTCCCGATACCCCCCACGTTTTGCACTCGGTAAGCCCCGCAGGCGGCTGCTCTCGCAAACGCGGCGAGATCCCGCAGGGCGGCCGATCACCGCAGATCCCTGCTCCCCCTCAGCCCTGACCGTGGCTCAGCGCCGAGGCGCACGGGGCAGCCGCGGGTCTGCCCGCACCGCACAGCCGCGGCTCTCCTACCGGCCCCGGCCCGGCCCCTGCAGGGCCTCAGAACTCCAGGCCGCTCTCGGCTCAGCTCCCGCCCCCAGACCCTGCCACTCTCCGGCTCTCCCCGTCCCCACCTGCTCGGCGGGCCGGGCCGGGCTGCGCCAGGCACCGGGAATTGACAGGGCCGGAGGCTCCGAGGGCGACGCAGCTTCCCCAGCCCCTAACCCCGGATCCGGGCCGTGCGCAGGCGCGGGGGGCGGTGCCGCTGCGGGCGGGGAGCGCCTCGATGGTAGCTGCTGCCCGGCAGGAGCGCGGCGCCCTGCGTTGTGCGGCATGGAGTGAGCCAGGTGGGCTTGCTTCTTGTTATAGTAGGCACTGTCATTATTTCCTCTTCCTCCGATGGTGAATTACCCCGCCGCGCTCCTGTGAGAACCGAGGGCAAAGAGAGCTGTGACAGGCCGGCATAAAGACAATAGGAAATAGGCACGCTGCCTCTGTCGGGGGCGGCCATTTGGTTCTGTAACTCACATCGCTTTTTACAAGGGTCTTGCACAACCCACGTGTACTCGGGGCAAGAGCAGTGAGATGTTTTCTCCAGGCATTTTACCGGAACAAAATAAAGCATACTGGAATGGAATGAACTTGAGGTTGTTGCTCTCCCTGTGTGCCTGCAGCTGGTCCGTGAAATGGCTGCCCAGGGAGGCTGCTGGAGGAGCGTGGGGCAGCCAAGGGACATGAGGCCGTGCAGGGAGGCATGGCTGGGGATGAAGGCATTCTGAGGGCCAGGGAGGAACTCATCCCAGCTTGGGAGCCTCAGGCCAACAGCAGAAATGGATCAGGTCTGGGGCTGTCGGAGGGAAGACCTGAACGAGGCCACGTACCAAAGTCCAAGGGCAAATGTAAGGGCAGACTTCAAGGGAGAGGATAAGGAAGTAGAAATTATGACAGCATGGGGTGAGCATGAGGATGGGGCATGGCTCCAGGCTGCTCTGGATGCTGGGAATGGGCACATGGCCTACAACATCAGTCCAGAGCTGCTGCAGGTGTGAGCCCTGCTGGCAGTGTTGCTCATGTTGGGCTCTGTGTCCACAAAAGGAACAGGACAAAGGACAGGCAAAGAAAATAACTCACCTGCAAAAATATGCACTCAGAAAAAAAATGGTCTGCACATATCATTGCCTGAGCCAATGTCACCCCATTTATTTTCTTTATCCTTGGAACTTCCTGGTACTTTCTGGAAGTTTAAAAGGTCTTGTTTAGAGTCATCCTCACTCCTGGTGAGCTGGCTCATGTAAAGGAGAGGCCTGTGTGCTGCTTGATGGTGACTCCTCCTCTGCAGTCAGACACAGTCAAGCATCTGAAAGTAGTGGCAGAGCTGCAATGTCATGGTGGTTGTCCCTCTTCAAACAAGACTTTTGCCAGTCTTCAAGTTTCCTGAGGTCCCCATCAAAGCTCCCATGCAGCGCGGTATTCTGTGGGTTCCTAAATACAAAATTATATGTATGAACCTTTGAACAGAACACTGGCTTGTTTGGAACGTATATGAACATGACATATTCAGCAGCAAATGCCAGATGATGTGAATTTGGTAAGTCTGGCTATTTGCTTCACTGGCTATTGACTTTTGGTTCAGTCACAAGTTTATATTGATCCACATCAAACAGTATTGGAGTTTTCAGGTATCCAAATGAAAAAAATGAGAACACAGTCTTCGCCTTTTGAATAGTATCAGATAATAATGTCAATCAAGGTTGAGGTTTAGAGTCTTATTACTTTAAACAATGGACTGTTTTGTATTAATACATCTCCAAACTGCCATTAGCCTTTCCTTCTGTAGATATGATATAAGCTTTTTCCCTTGCCTTGCCTTGCCGTTTTCTCCTCCTCTCTCCTCCCCTCCCTCCCCTACCCTTTCTTCCTTTCTTCTCTCCCTTCTTCTCCCCTCTTCATTTTATGCTATTCCATTTAGAAAGTAAATGTTAAGGATAATTTAAGAAGAGGTTGAAATACTGGAAAAATCTCACTCACTCATTAGTCTTAAGCTCCTTAATACTTGCCTTAAATATCATTTATTTATTATAGGCTAAATTAATGCGATAAAAATTGAAAATAAGCAATAATAAGAAATCCTGTAAAGTCTCACGCTCACTATGCAAGCTTGAAAAACATGAGAAGTATGTGGTATTACTGATAAAAAGAAGTGCTGAAATATGAGATGACATTAGAAGTGCTGAAATATGAGATGAAATACTTGAAAGTGTTACTGAAGTGGGCCACTGAGCCTGGACTGATAGAAACAAAATAGCTGTGGTTATAGAAGGGGTATTTTACACATTTTACACTGTACAGCATCTAGTACTACCAGCTCTTGAAACTGATTGGATTGTGCTAACCACCACTGGATTGGGACTGTATGCTTAAACATAGATATAAAAATTAATAAAAATGATAGGCAAGTAGTGTACAGCATGAATAGTACTGTGAGGGGTATGAAATGGAAACAATCAAATGACAGGAACAGAGAATTTGAGATCATCACCTTTGAACTGAGTTATGGGGCAGCTGCAAGTGCTCTTAGTTCTCATAGATCACTAATCAGGCGCATTTTGTACTTCTAGTAGTGCATCAGTAAAGAAAGCCAAGTGATGAATCGAGTTTCAAGTTGAGTTCTGCAGCTCAGATATGACAGGTGTGTCATGTTCTTGCAAGAGCTGGAATTAGCAATATCAAGAGCAATCAACTTCACCAGTGTAGAGGCTCCCAGTGCATATCTGCATGACCTCAGATGCATGAGAGACTAATGAATTTTATTTCTTCTTCAACCCATCACATTGTTTATCTGAAGAAACTTCAGACCGACTGCATTTATTTCACCTTTAGAAATAAAAGCTACTAGTTGACTGAGCACTGAAATTAATGCAGCTTAATTTCCTATAGATTTAGCTCTCAGATGACCATTTACCCAAATTATAACAAAAGAACTGCATACACCTCACATCTTTTCTTGCAGAGTATTCTGACAATAACATGCAGGCTGCCACATTCACAGATAGAATTTGTTAGAAATTTCCTTACTGGATAGAAAGTTATTACGCATTGACTTCCAAACATTCAATCCCTTGTCTCTCTTCTGCCTGGTTATCTATCTTTATGAAGTTTGTATAAACTTTCTTATCTCTCAGACTCAGCTGAAACTGGCTAACACCTTCAAAGTTACTGAGTGATTGCATAGATCTTGTTTTCACAGTCTGCAGGCCCAAAAATTGGTGGCATGCTACCTGAGTGTTGAGGTAGATAGAGCATTTTAGCTTTGTTTTTATCTCCAACATATATCCAAACTCAGCAATAATCAAACAAACCAGAAAGAAGAACCTAAGCTACCAAACCCCTCAAAAATAAATAAATAAAGCAACATAAAAGCAATTATTTCTGTCTAATCTAGAATATAAAGCAGCAATGTGGGAGAGCATGGACACTGACCACTTGCTGATAGGGAAGAAGACCTTTAAGTAAGCTTGTAACTGCTGTAGATTGGCCATTACCACTGGTATATAAGGCAAAGTAGGCTTTGCAGATCTGTTACAGCTGCCTATGTGGGCCACTTTCTTCCTCTATTTCAGTCAGCTGCAGAAATAATTTCACTCCTGAGAAGAATTCCCTGTATTTCAGAATTGCTGATTTTAATGATATTTGGTGGTAAATATTTTTAGATGCATTTAATGCTTGAGCATGGTTTGTCACTGGTACTTTAATTGCTACGTATTTTCTGATGATAGGGCCTGTGCTCTGAGTTATTTTGCATGAATAAAACATAAACAGCCTTTTATAACTGATGTATTTCTGATATATTGCACAGCTATCAACAGCTGTCATTCTTGCAACACTATAGTCTTCTGCAGTGTATACTTTACAGTTTTTCCATGTTCATTACCTGTGTGCAAACCTTAAATTGTGCTTTAGTTGATGAATGAGATATTATGTTCTGTAGATAGATGAAAATTGAATTAGAAATTGTGCCCAGTCTTCCACAATTCTGATGCTATGCATTAACCATGGCTTGCTTGCTGCTTTGTGTGCTTCCTGGAGTTGAAGAAAAGTAGCCCATCTTTATCCTGTTTGTATATTCTCACCTTTCTTTTAGAGCAGGAAAAAAAAAACCCAAACAAATTGGAAATTCAAGAAACTGGATGTTGACGAGGAGATACAAAATTGCCAATGACCGCAGATCTAGACAAAGAATAGTAATTCTGATCAGTTGGGTGGATGAGCCAGTAATTATAGTTTAATGCTTTTGAATAGCTTCTATCAGAATAGGATTTCTACAAATCACATTCCAAACCAATTGTCTTTACATTAGAAACATGGCAGCAGGTGCAGCTGTGGCTGCATTCAGCCACACATACCAACATAGAATGATACCCACTGAGAAGCCTCATCGATTTTTGACTCATCTAGTTTACATCTGATCTGTGTTGCAATTTCTTGCAGAGCAAAATCTGAGGAAAGAGATGCCAGCTTTATTATTTCTAATTTATGGCTTGACTAGCTTTAACCAAGTGAGCTGTGTGCAGTTAAAAGTCTTATTGGCAGGCTTTTTCACTTGCTCGTGGCCTACAGTAGAATTAATGGAATGTTTTGCCTTCTACCATTCATATTTATTTGACTTTAAATCTGTACATACGTAGATATACAATTCTACTTATATTTGAGAAAAGTAATGACAGATGTATGAGATGCATAAACCTTTGAGGAGAAATAACTTCCTGCATTAGGGAAGACATGTAAGTGATGATAACCAGTTTCTCACTGGCTTTGCCAACACAGTATAATTAGTATTTCATGATGCAATAAATAATTGTTTTGTGCTATTGTTTCATTGTTATGAAAGTTTTTTTTGATAAATACAAAAATCCACTTGTACCTTAGAAGTTTCCATGTTTTTTCACTAAACTGTTTTGGGAGAAGTCTGGTATTCTCTTGCCTTTAGGACTGGTTTGAAGACTCAGAAGCCAATCTACAACTTTCTGTACAATTCATGCCACCATTTATACATAGATACTGATTTATGGTATAAACAGATAACTGAATATGCAGCATCAGAAGCACAAGTATAAGCAGATAACATTGAGGAAATTATTTCACATACTGCCTGAAACCTGTTTGCCCCTGGCTTTCTAAGTTAAATGCTTTCTCTTCTAGGTACTGCAATAGTAAATGTAGTATTCCTCAGTAGCATATGACTATTCAGTAACCCACACGGTATAGAAAAATGA